AATAATAATAATAATAATAATAATAATAATAAGTAGTTGTTGTAGTAGGAGCAGCTAATATTAATTGAGCACTTACTACATGCCAAAGACTATGTAGTTTTAACACCAATCATTTCATTTAACTTCACAAATTATCCCCACTTTACATATGAAAAACTCAAAGCTTAAGACACTAATAACTTGCCAAGATAATAAATGAGGGAGCCAGGATGGAAGCACAGACCCTATGTATACTGCACCATTAAGTTATATTGCTGGCAACTCATCACAGCTCATGGTTATTGACTCATCTCCATTGAGCAGCTCTTCTACTTTCAGGCATGCATCATCAGTCTCCCCACTGCTGGCTGAGGGGAGCCCTGAGCCTTTCATAATTACCAAAGCAGCTTGGCAGCCACCTCAGTGTTATGACCTACCACTGGAAAGGTCCATGACAGCATACTAGGAGGCTAACTGGGTGGGCCCTGGCATGGTGGCATGTGCAAATTTCTTCATTCCTTGTAGGTCCTGAAAAGCTAGAACTTCAACAGCAATGTCGGTAACTGGCTCTCTGTCATGTGCCTGGAAGAACTGGCTGCACATAAGTCTTGAAGATACTCCTGTATAATGCACTTGTAAGTTGTTGGCTGACAGTCTAAGCCCAAGTCTAATAGTACTTCTTCACTGAAGCCTTCCCTAGCACTCCTTCAACTGTAACTGGTTTCTTTCCACCCTCCCAACCCCTTGGTATTCTGTCTGTAATTTTTTTGTAGTTTAATTTCCCACTCAGAGCTTAAGAGGAAATTTACTAGCACACCAAGCGTAGTTTTAAAAATGATAGATAGCTGCATCAAAGTGCAAATTAATTTGATTTTTAGATCAGATGAGAGAAGACCCATTTTCCTGGAAAAGACTATTGATCTTTGAAAGTTAAGAATACAGTTGGTTACAATTTAATTTCTCCCTGGTAAGAGGAACAGGAAAGGCTTGGCAAATCTAAAAAAAAGAGCAGTGTGTGTTTTAGACATCAGTTGCTGAACTTGTAAGGTGTGAGTCTTGTGCATGTGTTTCTCAGTAGCAGTCCCTATTCACAGAGGCAGTGGGAAGGCTGAGCAGGACAGCTCGCACATGAACGTCCTGTGCATCTGTGTGCACTTAATTCAGACAGATCTCATTTTACAGCAGCCTTAACATGCCATTCGAATGGATTAGAAAGGATGAGAAAATGGGATATGCGTCCCATCTGGATTCATGGCGATAGTATCAGAAAGATTTCCAGTGCCTTTGCAGAGTACTGACAATGTTTATTAAATACCTCCCCTTGGTGCTGCATGCTTAAGTGAGAAGCCAAAGGTATCTGTGAGGCCACGTACGAACTGTGGTCTGCTGGTTGATCCTCTTTTGGAAAAAGCGGGAGACTGGGCAGTGATGAGAGTGTCCAGCAGGGGGCCGGCATTTGCTGTCTATAAGTAGCCCTGGTTCCTCTTCAGACTGCCTGCTCTGCTGAGCTGCTGTTTGCTGGTGAAGCCAGTGACGTGCAAAGCATCCCGCCTATAGGATTTGAGGCTTTCTCAGTGCAGTTTTTTCTACCCACTTTAAACCTTCAGGTTCTAAATATCAGGAAAGACAGGAAATGCTGTATGAAAATAGCAGGCCGAAAGTTCTTAGTAAACTGCAGCCGGGAAGACAAGACTCAGATGGAGGTAGAAAGAGCTGATCCAGAGTGGGTCTAATTTCTAAGCCTTTATCTGGGGCTGAGTTTTTGTTGTTAACTTATTGAATTTGGAGATGTATTGCACTGGTCACATGAACACCAGAGCAGCACCAGCTTCAAATTAGTGACAGGCAGTTTTGATTTTGTAGAATATTTTTATTAAAGAAGATAAAAGAGCCAAGCATAGATCTAATCCTCTTTTCACCCAACTGCAAAATCAAAAGTTAAGAAACAGCATCTAAGAGCACTTTTAGGTGGGAAAAACGTCTACCTAGAGATGGCTCTAAATGATAGTTTCCTTCCAAACTTGCACTGCAATGTCTCCAATCACAGTGTGGATCTGCCCATGAACGACGACTGGTTCCACCCAGGGATCCTCTATGTTATCCCTGCAATTTATGGAGCTATCATTCTGATAGGCCTCATTGGCAACATAACCCTGATCAAGATCTTCTGTACAGTCAAGTCCATGCGGAATGTTCCGAACCTGTTCATCTCCAGTCTGGCACTGGGAGACCTGCTCCTCCTGGTAACGTGTGCTCCCGTGGATGCCAGCAGGTACCTGGCCGACAGATGGCTGTTTGGCAGGATTGGCTGCAAACTGATCCCCTTCATACAGCTTACTTCGGTCGGCGTGTCTGTCTTCACACTCACCGCACTCTCGGCGGACAGGTAAGTGCTGGCTGAAATCTACCTGGTCTTTGAAGGTAGTGGACACTTTGGTAAAGGAATTACCATGTCATGATAGATGGAGTTGTGCAAGGGAAGTTTTACTCAAACTCGGATTCTCTTCCAGGCACATTACTGTTTTGGAGATTACTTCTTGAGTTAGACATACTGGTTTAAGAAGGAAGAGTGAGTGAATGTGGGGATAGGAGAAAAATGGGGGGGATCTCTGAGTATAGGACTGAATTGTATTTTCTAGAGATTAATTGAATCAGCATTGCCTTTTTCTATTTTCCATCTCTCTGCAGAATGCATTGACCAGTGAGAAAGACAGACACACCCAACAGTTTAAACCTCAAATGGTTTCTTAGAAGGAGTTCAAAACCTTCAGGGAACAGAAAATTCCACTGCTTTTCTTCTTCAAAATATTCTTTCAGAAATAATCAAGAGGACAAGATAGGTCCCCAATTCTTTGTAATGTATTTTCCTTAGAAGGTTTAACTTCTCTCACAGCTGATTTTGTATTTGGCTCTCTGACCGAACAGTTGTGTGCTGGGTTTTCTAAGTTTCTCTTAAATGAAATCAAGCATTATTTGGATTTTAATTCTGGAGAAAGCTCCATTCAAGCTTGACTTCTAATTTTAATATCTTCATTGAAGTACTTCCTTCCCTGTATGATGCCTTCAGGGTTTTATGGAGAGGTGTGGGAGGTAGTATAATGTTTTATTCTGGGAAATATATACATTTGTAAACTGTAGTTCTTGTATGAAGATGTTGCATAAAAGTTTACTTTTATTCCTTTTTAAAAATTCATATTTACTCTTTAAACATTTATCAAGCATCTGTCATGGAGAAAACACCTGCCTAAATGAACAGGTCAGGAATAACTGCAGGTGTTCATACCAGTTGATGAATGTATCTCATATGCTTCTGGATTCTGGAAATTGGGCACAATAATGGAAATACTTTCAGACCCAGTGTATACCATATGGTCAAATTAAGAAAAATCTGGTACAATGAATCAGAGACTATATATTTTTATTTTAAAGTCAAGTGTATGTGGTGCATTAAAGACACATCAGGATTTGAGATCGTACTGGAAAAGGCATAGAAGCAGCTCTTAAAAGTTTATACGTGAAAGAAAATGTCCTACATTTTAATACATGTGGTGCTGGATTCTCATTTTGCAGAGGAACAAACAGTCCTCAGGTGATCTGGCTTTTTTGAGTAAAGACAAATAAAGATAGTGTTATCAGTATTTGTAGACATGTGTTTATACTCAGCTGCCTGAAGTACACTGCTCCAGCAGACAAGACATTTTCAAAGATTGAAAAGTAATGGCCCAGAAATGAGCTTTGCACCCTGCTAAGTAGATGGGGTTTCTCCATTCCCTCCTGTCAACTTCAGCTTGCTCTTCTTCCTCTGCACATTTGCGCACCAGGTACTAATGACCACAAACAATATCATTTGATCCAAGGCCGGCAAACTTGGAGTTGGCAGGAGGTGTATAGATCATTGCCAGTAACTAAGGGTACTTTAGAATGAGGGTAATTTTCTTTTTCTTTTTAAAAATTTATTGTTATTTTTTATATTACATTTAATCACATATATCTTTACAGTGTACAACATTTCTTTTTCCAGCGTGATTACCATACGTACCAGTCAAGACAAAGACATTACTAGACACATCAACAGCAGCAAATAGCTTTTCATTTTTTTCAGATTATTATTTATTTTATTTTATTTTATTTTTATTATTCTTACTTTTTTTAAACATTCGATTGCTGTACATCATTTGGAGAATGAGGGTAATTTTCTTGATGGGAAGAGAAGTTCTTGGTTTCTGAGTTGGTGAGTGCAGTGCTACAGATGGTGTTTACTCTCTTCTTGAGGAGGGAGACCGAGAGGAACATAGGACATGGAAGGTAAAGATGTAGCTGCGAGGAACTTTTCTCTGGAGTTCCAAAGCAGATCAAGTTCATTATGAGCAGAAAGGGAAAGCTCTTTCAAAAGCTGAGTTGAACCCTTTGGCAGCTCTAATGTGTCTTTGGTTAAGTTTTTAGTGACTGCATGTCCTTCCCAAGTTCAGTAATTACTGTAGGCACCCATATAACTCACTTTTTGTGTTTTGCTAAAGTTTGAAAAAGCTGATAGATCACCTGAATTGTAGGTAGTGCATCTAACCAGTTTCAATAAGAATAGGCATTGAGCTAGCTAAATAATATAACTAATTTTTTCTATTTTATCTATTTTTTTAAAATCTACAGGATTCTTAACCTCATGAGGTTGACAGGACAAATACATGTTCTGTATGTTTTTGTTCTTTTCAACAATGTATAATCTATAAATACAGTAAACTGAATAAGTAACAGTTCAGTATATTTTTATATCTCTATATAACCAGATAACCCCACCCACATGGGGTATAGAATAGATCCAGTACCCCTGGAGTTTCTTTTTTGCCTCTTTATAGTTAATATCCTCTTAAAGAGGAAATCGCTATTCCGAGTTTACTCATCATGGATTAGTTTTACTTATTTTTTAAAGACTTTTTTTTGCCAGTTCTTTAGCCTCATATACATGGAATTGATCTTATTCATTTGTGTCTGCCTTCTTACACTTATCATTATTTCTATGATATTCATCTATGTTTGTACACATAACAATAATTTATACTTTTAATTGTGTAAATTGTTCCATTGTATGACTATATCTCGGTTTATTTATCCATTCTAATAAAAATGAACATTGGATTCTTTCCAGTTTGAGGTTGATAATACCCTGCTATTCATATTCTTATTCATGGATTTTGAGGAACATAAGTACTTATTTCTCTGCATATATGTCTGAAAATGAAATTGCAGGGTCATAAGAGGCAAATATTTAGCAAATATTGTCAAACAGTTTTCCAAGGTGGTAATCTATATTTTATAGATTGGTAAAAAAGTGAGCCAGGAGACCCTCTGTATCTATCAGGATTCTTTAGAGTTTTGTTTTGTTTTGTTTTGTTTTGTTTTCTAAGAGATTTTTGCTATAGGGCATGTGCACTCACCAGAGAGATAGCGAGAAACAGAAAAACAGAAAATGAGAAATCACCTCCCAGAAGGGATGGTCACACTGCAATCCCTTCTCCTTCATTCTCCTCTTAGGATTTTGGGCACACATACACATGTGCCCAGTGTGAGTTTTTTAAGCCACTGAGTCTGGGACTCAAACCATGGTCAGTTACATGGGAATCCAGTGATGTAATCATTATGCCATCTGCTGGTCCCAGGATTCTTTAGAAAGACACAACCAGTAGGGTAAGGATATAGATATATGAGAGGGGATTTACTTAGAGAATTGGCTCATACTATGTGGTGGCTGAAAAGTCCCACGCAGGTTATCTGCAAGCCAGAAACACTGGGGTGCCTATAACATGGCTCAGTAGAAGTCCAAAGGCCTCAGAAACAGGGAATTCAATGGTTTAACTCTTAATTTAAGGCCCAAAACCTGATAACCTGGGGCAGAGTGTGTGTGTGTGTGTGTGTGTGTGTGTGTGTGTGTTGTGTGGGGGGGTGGTGGCATAAGTCTGGAGTCCAAAGGTAGGCAAACCTTGAGTTTTGATGTTCAAGGCAGCTGAAGCAGTCTACCCGACTTTCTATAGACCCATCCGCCTTCTGCCTTTCTTCTCTAGAGGCCCCTGACCAATTGGATGGTGCCTACCCACTTTAAAGGTAGAGCTCCCCACCTAGACCACTCAGATTCAGTACCCTGAAAACAATTTCAAGACACATTCCAAATAATGCTTTACCAGGTTTCTGGGTGTTCCTTAATCCAGTTAAGTTGGCACCCTTAATTAACCATCACCCCTCTAAACAAAATCATCATCATAATATAGGGAAGGATTAAAAACATACAGGTGTGAACATTTTAGTGATATTGATTCTTCCAATCCATGAACATGGGATGTCTTTCAATTTGTTTGTGTCTTCTTAAATTTCTTTCATCAGTGTTTTATGGTTTTCATTATAGAGCTCTTTCACCCCCATGGTTAAATTTATTCCTAGGTGTTTTGTTTTCTTTGTAGCTATTATAAAAGGGATTGTTTTTGCTTTCTTTTTCAGCTAGTTCATTATTGGTGTATAAAAGCACTACTAATTTATGTATGTTGGTTTTGTATCTTGTAACTTTACTGAATACATTTATCAGTTTAACAGTTTTTTGGTGGAGTCTTTAGTATTTTTTCTATCAAGATTATATTTTCTGCAAACAGAGACAATTGGACTTACTCCTTCCCAATTTGGATTCCCTTTGTTTTTCTATCTTGCCTTTATTCTCTGGCTAAGGCTTCCAGTACTATGTCAATTAAGGGTGGTGAAAGTGGACATTCTTGTCTTGTTCCAGTTCCTAGAGAAAAAAAAAATTTAATTTTTTACCATTCAGTATAATGTTACCTGTGGGTTTGTCATATATGGCCTTCATTGTGTTGAGGTATATGCATCCTATACCTAATTTTTAAAGCATTTTTATCATGAAAGAATATTGATGTTTATCAAAGGCTTTATCTGTGTCTACTGAGATGACCATATGATTTTTGCCCTTCATTCTGTTGATATGGTACATCACACTTATTGATTTGTATATGTTGAACCAGCCCTGTATTCCTGGGATAAAGCCCACTTGGTTATGGTATGCAATCTTTACAATGTACTTGTGGATTCAGTTTGCTAGTATTTCGTTGCTAGTGTTTTTTGCATCTATGCTTATTAGATATTTTTGGTGCATAGTTTTCCTTTTGGTTGTGACTTTGTCTGTCACAGGGGCCTGGCAGTAGAGCTTCAGCAGGCAGCAGGGGCAGTGGGGACATGAAGGGATGACCTGCAGTTCCATGAGGGCTACCTTGAGGTATCAGAGCCCAGACAGTGGAACAAGGGCTAAGAGCCCTGGCTACTAGTCCCTGAAGAGTGCCTGCATCGGTTCATCTGTTCCTGAGAGCAACCTTCCAACTATGCCTGACCATGTAT